CGTATTATGTAGGCAGCATGCATGAGCCACAAGCTCTTGGTAAACCTGACTGCAACAGCAGTGAGCAGAAGTATCCCAAACACAATATACTTTTCAAGTTTATCTATCATAAAAGCTCCTCCACACGCTTTTATGGTCACGGGCTAACCCTGTGTAAGCACCCAGTCAAGTGAAAGGAGAGGGAAGGAAATCAAACAATACCATGTTTAAAGACCAGATTTCAAGCTAATGTATCTCCTTTTAGCAGGCACAACGCAAAAAGAAATGCATTTCTTACAGTTACAGGACGAAATTTTTAGTTGGTCAGAAACTACAAAGCTGATTCTCTACTTCTGGCTGTGGCCACATGACTGTCTCAATACATACGGACATTAAACGTGCCAACTTGCAACGAAGACAACATAGTTAATAGTTTGCAACCTCCTTTCCCCCAGAAGATCTTCAGAGTTGAGTAATAAAATTCCTCACATGATTTCAATGAGAGGGTTCACTTGTCAGAGGCTGTTTCAAGATAGTATCATATGTCAGGGAGGTGCTGTTCAAAAGCAGCTTTCCAACCTTGTATTTTCAAGGCTTGACTGAAAAATGAAAAAAAAAGCAAACAAAACAAAAACAAAAAAAAATTTCAGGCTATAAATTTTGAAAATCGAGGAAAGAAAAATTATCTCTACATGTTGTTTTCAAAATGTGGAAGTTAGCCAATTAATGAGGGAAGGAAGAAAACCTCTGATTAAAGCCCTGACAAACGCTCAAGATCACAGAGCGATGACTAGTTTTGCCACAGACTTCGCGTCAGAACCCAGGTAAGTTAATACTTCTACACCTTGGTTTGCCACCTGTGAAATGACAAATAACATTTTCTTTTCATATCCTGTTACTCTTGCTTGTATTGTTCCCCAAATTAAAAGCATTTGCCAAAAGACTTATCTTTCGCATTAACACTGGAAATTGCACTCATAGCTAACACAGAATCAGTCTGCATGAGTGAGTGTTCAAATGTGAACTCTTAGGATACTTTGCTATCCAGCCATCCTAATTTTCTATATGTCAGAAGAAAGCTTTAGTCAATACAGGAATATGAGAATGCCAAAATACAGCTGATTAGTAATCTTACAGACAAAACCAAATTTAGGGATATGAGTTAGACAAAAAAAAAAACTAAATTCTTCTCATCATCTCCTAAAAATCCTACTATAATCATGACACTGGTCTCACTTCATTGATAACCCACAATATCATATTATCAGTAGGTATAATTAAAGCCCAATCCCACGAGGACATGTATGTAGAATCCAATGCCTGCTCCGATAAAATCAGTATAAAGTGAAATCGACTTCAGTGACTTTAGTGGAAGTGTCAAAGCCGCACACAGTAACAACAGCACAGGGTTTGTGCAGCAGGATTCTAAACTGACAGATTCAAGTGTTTGATTTCAAATCCTAAACTTTGCAGAAGATAAAAAATACTTGCCACAGATCCCAACACTGTTACTTCTTTAGTGTCCCTAAAAGCTCTGCACAGAAATCCCTGTAAAGCACAAGTTGCTTTCTTTAGATTAAAATGTGTTGTCATTTCATGCAAATTAGTTTATTTTCTGACATACACAACCAAACATCTTCTGAGATCCCTTTATGAAAGGGACAGCCCAGCATTCTTCCTTTCTCATGTTTCAGTTTCATTAATTCTTTCAGTTCTCCACCCAAACATCATATCCAAAAGACCCAAATTTCACCACTGCCCCACTGACATACAAAAAAAAAAAAAAAGCAGCCCTAAAAGTTAATGACAGAACAATTCCTGAATTCATGCATATTAAAAAATCATCTTATTAAAAATAAAATTAATTTTAAAGTGAATGTCTGAGCCCCACTGTTTTCCCAGCTTCAGATACCAATGAAAAAAAAACATAGTAAACACTTCCATGAATTTATGGATTATTACTATAAAGTAAAAACTTCATAATAATTTAATTTTCAAAACATAGGACTACCATGAACTTTTAATATCCTTTTGAAAGAGACCAGTAAGACCCACACAGGATCTGCCTCAGAAGTAAGCTTTCTGCAGCTGATACGAGTTTCTGACTGTGTGGAATTATCAGAATCACGCTGCTAGAGAGCTGCACATTTTCTAGAAAGGTCAACAAATAGAACGGAATTGCTCCAGAGGGGTCAGTGAAGTAGTTACAGAGATAAGCAGGCCTCATCCACACAGGATTTTCTTCAACATTTCCTTACCACTCTTTAAAAATCCTGCAGTTGCACCAAAGGTAGCATTCCTGTAACACAGCTGGCAGTCTGCATACCACAATGTCGTCTAGACCTGCTCTGAACAGTTGGATGACACAGGAGTAAAAACGCTGATGCCTGTTCTGGTGCTTAAGGAACGATAGGAGGAAGAACAGACATTGCTGAGTAAAACACAAGTTCCTTGTTCCTAGTCTCATGCCCAGGCTCGTCAGACAATTCTGTCAACCACAGAGAAAAAGTTGTGGCTGTTGTGGGGCTTAAGAAGCAGCTTCACATGAGAAAAAACAGCATTCCCAAACCCCAGTTTTCAGATGCAGCATCAAAACCTTGCTCTTTCACACAGCCCAGTGCTCCCAGAACATGCAGATAACAAATGCATCCCTGCATAAATAACATATCCCATCACTTTCTCACTTCTCCCCTACTTCCCACCCCCATCCACATAGAAGAGATGTTTTCTCAGCAATTTGGAAGAGAAATTGCAAAAAGGGAGATGCAAAACACAGAAATAAATTAAGTTTGTTCTCTGCTGTTGACAGATTTGGTCCTAGCTTAATGGGAGGAAAAAAAAAACAACAAAACCTTAAGTGATAAATCCATATATACCTACTCCAAACTGCACCCCACATCCCAAGGGACACAGTATAATGGTAAATAAATATAGATGCAGTTCCTACTAATGAGGCAGGGTACAGCAAGGCCAAAGAAAATGCAATCATCTCGGGAAAAAAAACTGCACAGGACTCCTCCTCTCCCATCCATGGAGGAAATCAAACGCCAGCTGCACCATCCCAGGAAGGAAGCAGAGTCTGTACCTGATGAGCCCTGCAGAAATGAGCTAGTCATATCACGGGACGCAAGCAGGCACTTCAGGGTTTTGCCAGCCCACAAATTGTCTGCAGAGCACAATTCCTCTCTCTGATACGATGTATAATTTTACACGGCATCATTCCTGCAAATTGGAAGGGGCTATTTTCCCCACCAGTTTCTTTTTCTTCAACCCCATCAGCTGGAAGCAGGGGCACGTAGCTAGCGTCTATCAGATCTGCCCCAGCACTGCTCTTAAAAGCGTGCTCTAGCCATCAGCTTAACACTTTCCTCCCTACAAAGTTTAAATCTTCCCACCTTTTGTTCACATACATTTTTGTACTTAAAAGCCACTTATCTGTAGTCCCAACGTTACTTCAGCAGGAAAACAGAGATACACCCGATTCCACAGACAACCAGCAAACACGCTCACAATCTTCATTTCCTCTTCCTTCTTCTCTCCCCACACCCCCCCAAAAAGCTGGTTTTTTTGTCCCTAACGCGAAGGAACGGGGGAAAAAACAACATATACACGAGTAAGGCTTTTCAGACCTATCGCAAAGACAAAAATGCTCCCCGAATAAGTGCTCTGCAAACATACCAAGAGACTAAACTAGGCTCAACTAAAAAAAAACCCCACCAGACCAAACAGAGGTTTAAGAACTCGGCTTGCTCTCCCTCGCATGTGTATTCTGCACCTAAAACCACTCGCCCCTTTTTTTGTTTTAACCCCGACCCCCAGCAGAACAGTCCAGCGGCATTCCCCGCCGCTTCCTCCAGCCGGTCCAGCGGTCAGACACACTGTTCTTCCGAAAAAAAAACATCCCAGGCGCGGCTGCAAATGCATTTAACCCCTTCCCCATCTCTTTCCAACAAGTACAAAATAAACAAGCGTATGACACCCCACCCAAGCTCTCCCCGCACAATTTAGGAATGACTGCCTCCAGGTCCTCCTCCTTCCGCACCCGTTCTCATGTTAAACTCTCCAACCTTCGGGTTCACGCCTTTGCCCTCCCCAAAAATCCTCTCTCAAAGCCCCGGGAGCTGCAATAGATCTCGCCGTCTTCGTCGCGCCCCAGCCCTGGAAGCCAGAGGCTTTGGGAACAGCCGGCCTCGGTTTTCCTCACACCCATAGGCACAAAGCACTTGGGCTCCCCTAGAAAAGAGCCCCCGGAGCCCTCGCACACCTCTGACAGCTCCACAGGCCCCCGGCATGGCAGAGCCCCGGTGAGGGGTCTCGATGCCGGGCGCGACCCGTACGGAGAACCGGTCTCTAGCCCCGCGGGGTCGGAGCCTCCCTCGGCCTCCGCCGGGCCGGGCCAGGGCACCTCCCAGGTCCCGGAGACAGACAGCGGGGCCCCGCCGCCCTCTGCAGCCTCGCTGGGTCTCGCAGCAGCCCAGCCCCAAACTCAGGGGCGAACAAAACCGAACCACCACAGAAATACAAAAAGGCACCCACCCAGGCTGAGGGGACTCCGCCACCAGGAGTGCGTGCCCCCCCACCGGGGGGGTGGAAGAAACAAGAACAGATAAATAAACGGCAGGAAGAACCATGGAGGGCTCTCCTGTAAAACCCAGAGGTGGCCCTGCCCTCCCGCAGACCCCGCGGCAGCCTCCCGGGAACACCGTCCTCCTCCCCTGCTCCGGGGCCGCCGAGGATAAGCGGAGCCCCTCAGAGTTGCGACTCCAACTCAGCCGGCGAAGCGGCTGCTGGGCTGCCCCTGCCCGCCCCCCGCCGCCCCCCGCCCAGGCTGCCCCCCTCACGCACATCCCACGTTACGAGGAAACCCGCTCTCCGCCGCGGCGCGACTCCCCGCAGGCGGCCACGGCGCTGGCTGAGGGGGGACCCCCTGCCCGCCCCCCCCCTCCCCTCCTTCCTCCAGCCCACCCACCAGCCCGTCCCCTCCCCTAACACCGCCGCTCCCCACTTCCAGCAACACTCACCTCTGGGTGCCGGCGGCGCCTCCACCTCACCATGTAACGGCAGGAGTGTGGGGGGTCCCCCCGCCTGCCCCAACGTGAGGGGAGATGAACGGGAGCGCTGAGGGGCGAGGACAATGGGGGGGAGGAAATCCCTCGGCCAGCTCGCCCCCCCTCGCCAGCCCTCTGAGGACCAGGGACCCCACCCCGTGAGGCCCGGCTCCTGCCGCTCCCTGCGCCTCGCCCGCTCCCTCGGGTTTGTTTGGGTTTTTTTGGCTCAATCACACCAGACTGACTGTCTTTGTCTGTCTGACAAGCGCCATGTTGATATCAACATCCAAGCTCCCACCTGCTGCCGATGTGAGACCATGGGACTTGTAGTTCCCGCCTCCCCAGGGTGACGGGGAGACCCGCCGCGCGCGGACTACAACTCCCAGCACGCTTCGGCGTCGCGGCGCGCCGGCGGAGCGCGGGGCTCAGCGAGAGGCGGACTACAACTCCCGGCGTGCCTCGGGAATGACTTCATCCTGGGCGGGGGGCGGTGGGACTGCAAGTCCCATGATTCGGTGGAGCGCGGGCAGGAAGGGCGGGGCGGGCAGGATTGTCCTGGTAAATAGAGCCGGGGGAAGCATGAAGCTGGTGAGTGCATGAGGAGGGGATGTTGCGGGGGGCTCGGCCTGCCCCCTGCGGCGGGGCTCCCCGGGTTGTCTGTGGGCTGCGGCAGCCTCTGTCCCGGCCGGCGGGAGAGGAAGCTGAGGCTCTGCAGGGGGTGGCCCAGAGGGGCTCGTGGGGGCGGGCCCAGCGCTCCGCTCCGCTCCCCTCAGCAGCGCGGCCCGCGAGCCGCCGCCGGGGCAGGCCCACGGAGAGTCGGCGGGCGTGGGTGAAGGCAGGGGCACAGGCAGCAGCGGCGCTTCTCCGGTCTTGTGCCGGTGGTGTAGGGGCTGCCCGGGCTTGGGGGGTTGGGTTGGATGAGCACAAGTCTTACGTGAGAGACGGCTGAAGGAACTGGGGTGTTCAGTCTGGAGAAGGGAAGGTTCAGGGGGACCTTATGGGTCTCTACAACTGCCTGACAGGAGGTTGTAGCAAGATGGGGTTGGTCTCTTCTCCCAAGGAACAAGTGATAGGACAAGAGGTAACGGCCTCAAGCTGTGGCAGGGGAGGTTTAGATTGAATATTAAGAATAATTTCTTCACGGAAAGGGTTGTAAGGTATTGGAACAAGTTTCCCAGGGAAGTGGTGGAGTCACCATCCCTTCAAGTGCTCAGAAACCGTGTAGATGCCCTCAGTGACATGGGTTAGTGGTGGACCTGGCAGTCCTGGGGTAATGGTTGTATTTGATCTTAGAGGATTTTTCCAACCTAATTGATTCTGTGATTCTATGATAAACGTTTGTGAGGCTCACAAGGAAGAGGAGGAGAAATTTCTCTGCCCTTTACAAAGCACAAGCCTTGCCATGGAACAGAGCAGGAGCTAGCCCACTGCATGTGTGACTTTCCTGGGTTACTCTAAGAATATCAATAAATACCCGTGGTTCATAATAAAATTGTTTCCATCAGCAGTATGTTGTTAATACAGCTAGTTACTAATGAGAAAATCAGCCTGGAATAACTTTGTCAAGTGTGCACTATGCTTCTGACAAGTACTTTGGTTCTGATATAACAATCTCGTAAAGGGAAAGTTGACAGAAAATACATTACCCATATTACTGGTTTTCTCTCCAGATCTCCCTTTTCAACTCCTTAAGTTCCCCAGAGACCTTTGCTTTAGCTGCTACCTTATTTTCTGGAAGCTTATTTCTGCTACTTTATTTCTAAGGAGCTGTGGCTGCCCCATCCCTGGCAGTGTTCAAGGTCAGGTTGGACAGGACTTGGAGTAACCTGGTCTAGTGGAAGGTGTCCCTGCCTGTGGCAGGGGATTGGAACTGAATGAGCTTTAAGGTCCCTTTGAACTCAAACCATTCTATGATTAAGAATTTCTGTTACACCTAATGTACTACAGTTCTTTGGAGGTGACAACCAAAGCAGGTTTCAAGATACCTGAACATAACATTTGAGTTGTATAACCTGAAGTTACACTGTTGTTAAATATATGATTGTGTCTGAGTTTTGAGACTGAGCAGTTTGTCCTGAGGAAGCTTCATAGCAGTTAACTTGTATTCTGAGTTTGTTTTGAGGCTTCCAGTAAAATGCTATCTCCAGTGTGACCATGTAAAATAAATTCAGTAGGCAGGTGGCTGAAGAGCTTGATCACAGAATCACAGAATGATTTGGATTGGAAAGGACCTTAAAGCTCATCTAGTTCCAACACCCTGCAACAGGCACGGACACCTTCCATTAGACCAGGTTGCTCAAAGCCCCATCCAACCTGATCATGTAATCTTACATATGCAATTAAGCCTCTGTGCGTGTATACTACCAGTGGGACAAACTGCAAAGCTAAGCACTTCCAGACATGGTTGTAGAGCCTGAGATAATGTAGGGTGGGGAAAGCAAACTGAGAAACATTTAAATGAAGACCACAGTGGAAATGCAGGGTTCTTTTAAAATCTGGAGTCTTGCATAGGGGTAGAGAAAGAGGTTGGGGGGGGGGGGGGGGAAATACAACCTGCCTGAAATCCGTATTGTAATGTTTTTAGACCTGTGTATAAATTTGGAGACTGGGGATCATACAGATTCTTGATCTTACATTTATCTGGAGATGTGCCTGTAACTCTGGGTTGTGGTGGGAGGAGTTTGATGCTGTTTCATCCATCATTTATTTTTTCCATCTATTTGGGTGGAATTTGGAAGAACAAGGGAGAGGTACAGACTCCAGACCTGCTTCAGAGTCCAGTGAAAATGTCAGACTCCCACAAATTCAAATGTGCTTTGGTCCAGGCAAACCTAGTTGCTAATTTCCCCTTAGATTTTAAGGTAGCATGTGATGTTAACACTGGAAGAATACACTGCAGTATTTGTTGGAATTCAAAGCGCTGGCTTTAACCTGCAAAATCTTGCATGTTTCGGAGCTGCTAGTGTGAGACATCATCTCTTTTCTGTCACATTGCCATCCATGAGATCATCAGAGACACTCCAAGCTGAGAACCTCCTGCTGTGAGAGCCTCAGCAGCTGGAATGAGCCCGCATTCTGATCTCTGTGCCCCACTCTGTCAAACTTCCATCCAGTTTACAAAGGCTGCCAAGAAGGTTGTGAGCTGAGCTGGGCATGTTGATATCTTCTGTGTGTTTTGTGACTTTGTTACTACTTTTTAGTTAGGCACCTAGCGTGTTCACTGCACCAGCCTTTAGCCATAAGGGAATAAAGATGGAAGGAAGCAAATCTTAGAGCAGAAAGGATGTGCATTTTAGTCCAGTCAGGAATATTAGTGACTGGAATCTCTGGATCTGTTTTTTAAACAGTAGCAAATATGAACTGGGTAAAAATTATCACATTTATAGTACATATAGAGATGTATATAGTACAAGCATTCAGATTCTCAGATTACTAGTCTAAAATTCTAATAGAGGTACAAGCTCAGAAATGTCACCTGTGCAAATAGCTCTATAAGATATGAACTCCTTTTTTAGTTCTTTTTAGTCACTTCACTTGAATCTGGTAGAAAGAACCCATTGCCTCCCTGGAATCCATTTACCACAGCATGACAGCCACAGATACAGATTATTTTAGATGCTTTTAAAGAAGAAAAAAGAAAGATTTTCCAGTTAGCTTGGAGATGTCAGGGTCATGATCCTCTTCATGATTTTAATAAAAGCAAGAAAGTGTTTTGCTGATAAAAGTGGTGATATTTCATTGCCTTTTTTAATTACCAATACTTCAAAAGCTACAAAAATGGTTTAGATCATATTTTTTTTTCCTTTGTTTCTTTCTACTTGCTTCGATTTATAGCATAACTGTCAGAGGTCTGGTCTGGCAAGAACTTAATTTCACATGTGTATTTTACATTTACGACTAAACCAGCTGAATTCCTTACCTGTGTACTCCCCTCTTCACCAGCCTGGTTTTTCACCATTGTTTTGAACTTTGCTAACAGCAGGCAAAATGTAATGTTTAATAACCAAGGCTTTGTGAATTTAAAACAAAAGTCTTTGTGATCTTTTTAATTTAATATTGGGGCCTTAGTAGCTTTTTAATATTTAAATATAATTTAAAACAGGTTTCTGAGGAATGTATTTAATAGACTCCTTGGGAGTTGCTAATCCAGACACTTGCAGTCCTGTGTTAACATATCGTGAGCAGAGGTAGGAAGTGAAATTATTAATCTACCTTCTTTCCCCTTCATCGAATGAAATACAGAGAGCAAGCATGACTATAAATGACTTAGAAAATGACTGAGTCTGGTTTTAGTGCAGTGCATGGCCAGCTCATTGATATTTTTCATCTTAATTGATCAAAACTTTAATTTAAAAGCTAAAGTTTGACCACCTCAGCTGCCAGACACCCAGACTTCAGAGATGCAAAGACTTTCCTTCCAGATGCAAAATCTCTTTTACTTGCAATCCCTGAAGGAATTCATCCTTCTCAAAGAGGAGAAACGCTCACCTCGAGGCGTCCACGCTCTATTCAGGCATTTACGTTTCAAACCCCGAATTTTAAAGCTGGCATTTTTATTCACTTTGCTTCTTATTCAAAACTTCAGCTGCTCCTGTGCCTTGTTAAGTGTTTGCCGCTCTCCATACAAGAGGTGACTGCATCTCAATGATGCTGAAATGCCCTGGTACTGAAGAGCCCTGCTCACTGGCTCATTAAGTTTGCAAAGCAGTTGGGATTTCTCAGTACACAAACCCTTCCATTCAGGTGTGGTTGTCCATTCCCTCGTGTTTCCTGTTTGCGTTTAGCAAGACAAAAAGCAGGTGAGAGCATGCCCCAGAGCTGCTTCGGTGCACACTACAGCTTCCCCTGCTGATCTGTGCCAAGCAGCCGCAGCCCCTGCTGCGCCTTGTTTGGTTGTTTAGTCAGGTTTCTTAAGGAAATAAAACTTGTATTTCTGCAGGGATTCTCTCCCTCTTTCCACCCCAAGTAGTTTTCAGATATGCTAGCCGAGTTCAGCCAGGTTTTGCCAGTAGGACCGAGTTTTGAAGAAACCAATGTTCTGGGATTTTTGTGAGAATAGGGGATTGTTAGGGGAAAAAAAAGAGATTCTTCATGTGTCCTAAATTGTAAAAGGAACTATGCCATCCTCTCAACCCTTGTCTGAAGAAAATCTACCCCATAATACCGGGGGAAATCTCAATGAACACACATCGGTGTGTTTGTAGGATTTATAGGAAATCAGGTTTTGTTCTGCTGTGTATGAAACTGCATGTTTAACAGTAAGGGGAAAAAAAGGCAATTTTTGGTGGGAGG